TTGAATGACTGGGTGGAAGGTCAGGAGTTGGGAGCAGGCAAAGATGACCCCAAGATATTCAAGATTTCTATTTGCCAAGGAAGAGTCAAACTTCTTGCCAGTGAGGTCTTGCTGGGGAGAAGAAGGGGGAGGGAAAGGAGAAGATGGAGTGGGGGCTATCTCTAGGCCCTTCAGAGGAGGGTGCCCTCCACACTTGCTTAGGCATCCCTTATTTTAGATTTTGGTCAGAATAAGACAGAAGAGAGTACTCAGACAGCAGTATGCTAATGAGTAGGCAACTGATTACCACATGAGACCACATAGCTATTCTTTTCCTTCTAAATATACTTTTATCCATTTCTTTGTATTACAAGCAAGCAAAATGGCAACAGACAGTCAGGGTTTCTTCACTGCCTATTAAGACGCAGTAATGGTCTGGAATAAGTTAACTGGATCTTGCATTTTCCCAATTCTCACTTATTAAAGCTTCTCTTTTATTAGACTTAGGAATCATTAATTTCTTCACTGAGAAAACCACTCTCCAGAGGGCTGGTTGGAAGGAGGTATGTGGTTGGGTCTCATTAGGCTGTGGGATGGCATTAGAGGGTCTGATGGCTTGAATTAACCCCAGTGGGATGGTCTGAACCCAACTGGGAGGGTCTGGGACTTGTTTGAGGGGACCTGGGGATATTGTATATACAGATGGACCGTGCAACAGATAGAGTCTGAGAGTGAGAGATGTGTTCTTGGTAGAGATGAAGCTAAAGAGAGGAATGGGATGGCACTGAGGGGATATATAGAGCTGTTCGGAATCTTGATCCTGCATCTCATCCCACGCATGCTTTCACAACCTCCACTGAGAGCACCAAACTCCCTTTCTCTGGGAGAGAAAGAGTGAATAATTATGGGGGCTATCTAAGCAAGTCTGAAATCTGTAGGGCAGGCAGTCAGGAAGGGAAGGTCATGGGCAGGCTTAAATCCACAAAGAAGGGCTGAAGCTGTCATTCACCGGCAGACAGGAAGGGAGCATCATGAGCAGAATGGAACTCAATAGGCACTAGCTAGAGCAGTGGTCTATAGGTGGAACTTCTCTCTGAGCCTGCATGTTCTGTGAATACATGACTTGTGGGGTGTGTATGTGTGGTAGGAGTGGGAGAAAACCCCGGACCAGATGTTGGGAGGCCTGGGTTTGGATGGCCTCCAACTTCCTGCGGCATAAATGGTAGATTCTTTCAACAAACTTTATAAATCTGAGAATTCTGTATAACTTGAACTCAGGTATTTCCATTTGCATAGAAGAGAAATACAACAGTGTGATCTGTCCGAAGGACAGCTGAGAAAGGCCCTTCTTGTTTTTGAGAATATTGACTGAAGGAGGAGAGAAAGCAAAATTTCAAGGTTCATGAGTCGAGGCTTGTCCTGGTCCTGGGAGTCAGGGAGTTGTCAGGGGGAAGAAGGTAGGGGAGCAGGGTCCGGACTAGGATGAAGCTACATATGAGTCACCATGGTAAAAATAGAGATCCCAGGGCCTTCATGCAGAGGGGTCATGCTTCAGTTGGCTTCAGATAGTGCCCCCCACGGCACAAAATTTAAGGAGGCATCACCCTTAGGGTGTTCAAGTACTGACACTCCACTTGCTAGTGAGTGACTCCTTAAAGTTTGCACTGTAGGCCCCTGCTGCCTTTCCCTGGAGGTTGGTATTCTCTCCCTGCCAGGGAAACGGCCAGCGTACTCAGAATAGCTCACCTGGAATGGAAGGAGTCCAGAGAGAAAGAGAAGAGCCTTCCTAGGTAGCAAAACAGAGAAGGATGGCCAGAAAGAGGCCAGTCCCAGTTTAATCTAAAACACACTCTTTTTTTTTCCAGCTTTATGGAGGTTTATGATTGACAAAATTGTGATTGTAAAATTAAAGTGTATATCTTAATGATTTGATGTCTATGTGCATTGTGAAAGGGCTCTTCTCATCTTGTTCATTAACACATCTATCACCCCACACATTTATTTACTTACTTTTTGGTGAGAGCATTTAAGTTATATACTCTTAGCAAATTTTAATTATACATTGCAGTGTCATAAACTATTGTCACCATGTTATAACTTATATGAGTTATAAGATGAATAAGGTGCTCAGGCCTTATGGTGGTTACCATGCATGCAAGCTCCATTCACTTTCAGAACTAGGTGTTTTGGGAGCCTGTCCTTCAGGTGGAAGTCTTAAAAGTTGGAGTGCAAGATGTGGAGTCCAAACACTTCCCTCCTCAGGGAGAATTTGAGAATTGTGAGTTCCCTCCTGATTATATGTTGCTGTGCCATGGGTGGAGTTTATGGCAAGAGTGTGTCTCAAACTTTTCTGCCAGTTTTGGTGTGGAGATTTCTTCGTTTGCCCTACTGGAGGAGTCACTCAGCTAGTTTCTGGATTTCTTTCGGAGAGGATCGCTCTGTGCGTAACTGTAGATTTGATGTGTCTGTGGAAAGAATTGAATTCAGGAGCCTTGCATGTCATCACCTTGAACCAGAATCCTTTATTGATTCCTTTTTTTCCCCCTGTATATGGGCCATACTTTCTTATTTTTGTGTGTGTGCCTCACAATTTCTTACTGAAAACTGGGTTTTAAATAATATAATACATCAATTCTGGAAATCAGATTCTCCCCATTCCCTAGTGTTTATTGTTGTTGCCATTTGTTTAGTGACTTTTCTGAATGAATTCTGTAATGTCTATATTCTTTGTCGTGTGTGGCCACTGAAGTCTCTGCTCAGTTAGTTTGCTTAGTGGTCAGTGAAAGATTGGACAGAGATTTGCCTCCGATGCCTAGAACCAGTAAGTCTCTCAGTCTTTGTAGAGGGGCTCTATGGACATGTTGGGGCATGCCTTCAACACTCAGCCAGGAAGTTTACAGCTGTGCCCTAGCCTTCATTTCCTGCTTTTTCAGGGCATTGAGCTTAGCCAGAAATGAGAGCTTAGGACCTTCTTGAAGTCTTTTCTAAGTATGTACACAGTCCTGGGTATGTGCACATTCCTGTTCATGTGCTTACTTTCTAGATTCTCTGGAATATTTCAGAGCCTTTCAAAGTCCCTATGGACACCTCATTCCCTAGCTTTTTATTTTAAGGTTTTTGATTAGCTGATTATTTGCCCCAACTCTTATCCATTGCCTTAGGCAGCCGTAAAGTCCAACAACTGTCTTTGATTATTTTCAACAAACCTCCTTAGAGAAAAAGCTGTTCATACTGGCAAGCTCAGAATCCAGTCAAATTAAGACAGTCTCACAAAAGGGATCTTCCAGAGAGTTCAAACAATGACAGCTCTCTGGAAATGAGTCTTTGAAGGAACCCCAACCCTGTTCTACCTGTGGCTGCCAGGCTGCTGGTTTTCCTTGTGATTGTGGGATATTGGTTTCTAAGAAAGAGGGTGATGGAATAACAACAAATTAAAATGCCACAAAGCTCACCGTTCTTACCAAGATTGCGTCGTTTTTCTTGAATAAACAGTTTCCATATTGCTGTAAGCCTCTGGTTAATTTCCAGACTTTTAAAAATTGGATTCTGACAAAATTTCGTCAGTTTTCTCCTTGCTTTTATGGAGAAGAGATTTTTCAGAGGTCTTTACTCTGGCATTTTCACTGACATCACCTGTAGTATATTTAGAATGCCCTTCTATGTGATTGCCTTCTCGTTTCTCAAAACACAGCTCAAATGTCTCCTCTCCTGTGAAGCTTTTTCTGTGTCCTCTGGGCAAAGGAGTCAGCTCTTTCTTTATCTTCCTATACCTCTGTGTTTATGCCCCTGTTTCACAAATAATAGTTATTGATATCTGTTCCTGTGTCTTGTCTCAGCCTGCAGTTTCCTAGCTGGTGACTTATTCATTCTCCATGCCCAAACTAGTTCCGGACACACGGTAAGTATGCGTATTTGTAGGCTGAGGGGGTATTTGTTTTAGGAGATCTCAGAGCCTAGCCAGGGGATTCTCAGCTCCAGCCACCAGTTCTCTCCTCCTGCTTTTAGGATTCATAGCTGACTTCTGTGTCTTCATTGTATTAGAAGTGTGGGGAGCTCTGTGTGATTACCATAAGCTCAGAGTTGACTGAGTGCATGAGGGAAGTAGAGAGCAAAAATAAAGCCTGTGTGGATGAGGTTCAACAGTAATAATAATGATAGCAGCCAATATTTACTGAGTACATTCTATGCTAGATACCGGGCTAGGAGCTTTCTATTCAATATCTCATTCATTTCCAGCACCAATTCTCTGAGATGGGTACTATTATCCTCATTTTTCACGTGAGGCTAAGTAAGGGAAGTGGCAGAACTGGAGTTAGATGAAGGCCTGACTTCTAAAGCCCATATTCTTAACCATTCCATCTGAGGGATCCGTGAGAAGCATTTGGAGGCGGGGAAACCACACAAGCCTTCTTCCTCCCTGGCACCTGTTCTTCCTCACTGAAGAGATGTGGTTCCCAGGTGTGTTCAACCCACCCTGGGCTCAGCTGGGCCACCTTGTAGTTTGAAGCAAGATAGCGCCGAGGGCTCCTGTAGTAACTGGCCCCAAGAAAGCTGGGTGGAGAGGCCCCATTTCCCCAGCACTGGGGTGACAGGCGTAGCCCTGAGGAGAGAAATGACAAAAATTCCTCATTATCATCCCAGTTCCAACATGGTGACAGCCCCAGACTGCTGGGAAAGCCAACCCACACAGTGATGAGATGTAATCCAGAGGGCTCAGAAACATTTCCACAAATGCTAATATCAGCCCCTGTCAGCAGGAAGGGGGAATTGTGCGAGCACGCATGGGGCACACTGTTTGGCACAAGGGACTTGGTTGCTAAGCAACTGTATCTGGCCTCACCTCCTCCCTGCAACCTTTTCCTCTGTTTCTAAGCTTCTAGTTAGCAGATGGGAGGGGCTGAAGCTGCCCAGCCCAGCCCTTGGCCCCCTTTCCTGCAACAAGAGGTCTATTCATGGTTTCTGAGCAGATTTATTGTCTCTCTGATTCATGTCTGTGTGTGGGGGGGCCGGGGGGAGAATAAAGGGATAAAGGGAGGGGCATATGTGAACTAGGGAGACCTCACCCTCCAACCAAGCTGGCTGAGCTATTTAATCAATGCTGATCCAAGAACAGGAGCAGAACCCTGCCTAGAGACCCCGAGGGTTTACTTCGGTGCCGCTGAGCCGAATGGTAAGACTCTGCATACATCTGTGCCATCCCTGACCTGGCCTCTCTCTCTTTCTCTCTCCCTGCCCCCACCCTTGGGCTTCTAGGCTAGATGCTAGAGGAGGCCCTGTGTGGCCAACCTTCTATTTTTTCCTCCAGGGACTGACTTCTAGTCTCCTCTCCTGTCCCCCATAGGCCTATCCAAGTGCTTTGCACATAGACAGTGTTTAGCAAATCACTATTACATTGAACTCCTACTCAAAAGGAGGACCAGGAGATCCTGAACCATTACAGACCATTGTTGCAGGCTATTGCATGAGCTCAAACACATGGATTTGGAGGTAGAGCAACTCCTGGGGTGAGGCCAGTTAGTCCAGAAGCTGAACTGAAAGCCGAGCTCCCTTGATACTGAGACAGGAGAAAAGCCTGGGTATGCCCTGGAATTCTCTCTAGACCAAGCACTGCCTCTTTGCTCAGAAGGACATCAGTTCAAGAGAAACCGTGTTCCCAGAGAAGAAACCCAAACCCCAAATGCTGTTGCCACTTCTCTGCTTTTTTATGGGTGCTTGACTGACTCTTCCAAGCCTGTGGTTCTCCAGTCTCATTGCTTGTGCCCTTGAGCCTCATTTCTAGACCTAAGAAAGAGTGTATATGGTAAGGGGCAAGGCAAGACCCCATGTTTCTCCTATTGTTGGTGGGAGGACCAGCCCTATAGATCCTGGGCTGTAACTGGTGTAGGGGATGGGGAGTAGGGGTGGTGTCTTGCTTCATATGGAAGTTTGGGCTGCTGCCCTGCTTGTGAGCTGAACTGGCAAGGGTGTTCATGGGTCCAACAGAATGATTTCCAGGGTAATTTAGAAGTGACTGATCTGGGCGAGTCTTCAAAGGCTTTTTTTTCTCCTAGCCTGAGGGTCAGGAGCACAAAGTTCAATGGAACACAAAGGCAGGACTGAGGAATGTGACAAGAACATTCCATGTGACACATGGAAATCCCATCTAAGCCAACATTGTCTTGGAGTCAGTGTTTCAGGTTTTTATGATCATTGGGTACAACTCTAGGTGTTGACAGGATAAGCTGTAATCTTCAGAGGAGACGAGTCATACTAACTTTTATTTTTAAGAGAGAGAGAGAGAGTGCATGTACACTTGCGGGTGAGGAGGTGGCAGGGAGGGGCTGAGGGAGAGGGAGAGAGAGAATCTTTTTTTTTAAGATTTTATTTATTTATTTGACAGAGAGAGAGAGAGAGCACAAACAGGGGGAGTGTCAGAGGGAGAGGGAGAAGCAGATTCCCCGCTGAGCAGGGAAGCCCGATGCGGGACTCCATCCCAGGACCCTGAGATTATGACCTGAGCTGAAGGCAGACGCTTAACCAACTGAGCCACCCAGGTGCCTGAAAGAAAGAATCTTAAGCAGACTCCATGCTCATTGTGGAGCCCAATGCAGGGCTCGATCTCAGAACCCTGAGATCATGACCTGAGATGAAATCAAGAGTCGTATGCTTAACTGACTGAGCCACCCAGGCCCCCCTGGAGTCATTTTAAGTTTTAAGGGGTCTTGTCTGTTTTACTGGATCCTAAGTTCCTTGAGGAAAGGATCCACTGCTTTTACATATTTCTTCTTATTATTATACTTAGCATTTGCATTGAACTTTATAATTTATAAAACCCTTTTGATCATATAATCTTTTGTGGTCTCCCCGCCTGCCTTCCTCCTTAACATACATTAACTGAATTCCCACTTCGTGGCAGGCCCTGAGCTAGGCTCTGGGACCCTAGACCAGTGAGGAAGGGCAGAGAGAAAGAGAAGTAAATGAGCACAATATAGGGTCCCAACAGGTGCCTTATAGATTGAAGACAGCTTCTTGGAGAAGTGACATCTAAGCTGTGTCTTAGGAGTCAGCTACATGGGGGAAAGGACAGCTGATGCAAAGTTTCTGTGGAATGAGAGCACGTTAAGGCCCAGAGGACTGGCATGTGTGTTACTATGACCGAGTTCCACTGTGGAGGGAATCATGCTGGCAGGTGTGGATGGAGAGGTGAGGAAGGGTGAGGGCACAGAGGATTTTGTGGGCCGTGCCATAGGACTTTGGATTTTTCTTAAAGAGTAGGAAGTTTCATTGGGTACTTTATTTATTTATTTATTTTTTCTAAAGATTTTATTTATTTAACAGAGAGAGACATAGCGAGAGCAGGAACACAAGCAGGGGGAGTGGGGAGAGGGAGAAGCAGGCTTCCCGCAGAGCGGGAAGCCCTATGTGGGACTCGATCCCAGGACCCTGGGATCATGACCTGAGCCGAAGGCAGACGCTTAACGACTGAGCCACCCAGGCGCCCTCATTGGGTACTTTAAAAATGGGGTGAGCCTTCTCATGTTTGAATTGTAGGAGGATTGCTCTGGCTTGGACATTGAGTGGAGATAAGATGCTAGAGGAGGGAGCTGACTTGTTGGGTAGTAGTGGTTATCACTCTTATTTTCCAAATGAGAAAATTGAAGTTTGGAGAGGTGTTGAGTTAAGTTCACATAGTAGGCTGCAGACCTAGCTTTGAACTGCTGGTCCGGTATTTCTTCCAAGATCTTATTTTCCATTACTCTTCTTCATGGCTCATGAGCATCAGGCAACATATAGCGTCCTCTGCGCTATGCTTTCCCACCCCCATGCCTTTGCCTCTTCAAGTGCCTGGAATACCCAATGCCCATATATGTCCGTTCAAGCCCTATTCATCTATGAGGGACTGTCTCAGGCTGCCTTTTCTAGGAAGCCTGTTTTGATCTCCCAGTGAGAAGTAACCTCTCCTTCTTTCTTCTGTCACTTAACATGTTCTGTCTTTTTTTTTTTTTTTTAACATATCAGGACCCGACTGCAAATTCTCTGGGGCAGTTAGGGAGTGTTCCATGTTGATTTATTTTGAACTCCCTATAGTGTCCCCCACTGTGGCCCAGCCACTTGGGCTAAATCTTATTTACTGGATAAATGAATGGATGGTGCATTGGGCAGGGGGACTTCCTCTGAGACAGGAGAGAATGAAGAAGGCTGGGATCTAGAGGCCTGCGGAGGGATGTTGAGAGATTCAGCAGATGCCCTTGATGGTTGTGGGAGGCCAGGGAAGGGAGTGGTGAGGAGTGTGGGCTTCTGAGTTGGCCCAGTCTGGGTTTGAATACCCACTCTGGTGCTTACTGGCTGTGTGAGAATAAGGTGGGTGGGGTTAGGGGTTCCAGGAGAGCAGAGAGGGCCTGGAGGGGCATCAGTAGCAACACACAGAGTCTCCAAGATGAAAAAAAAAAGGCAGTGAATGCACAGCTGAGGTTAGAGAGTGGGGTCTTGTAGTGGGCTGATCTTCTCCCTTTGGTGTGGGGATCCTGAGTGACCGACAGTTATTTCCCCAGAGCCTGATGCCGGATGGCCAACCCCACATGGAGGCTCAGGATGCAGAGGAGGGCCCAAGACCTGGGATCTTCAAAGCAAAGCTGAGAGACCCACTGCGGAGGCCCGAGGCCCAGCAGCAACCCAGTAGGCCAGACTGGGCTATAGGGGAATGACAGGGTGGGGACAGCGACTGGGTAATCTTCCTACATCCCCCAGATCCTTCTTGAGAGAGCCCCCAGTGGCTGATGGCGAGAGGCTGCCTCACTGTTTATCCCAGACCTGTTTTTGCTCTGTTTCCAGTTTGGGGGTTGAGTGGGCTCTGGGGGCCTCAGTGGGGATGGGGTGGGTGGGTGGGGGTGGCAGGTGCAGTGGGGCAGACTCCTGCCACAGCCCCGTGGCTGCCTGGCCCCATGGTGGGGCCTCGGGCAGAGTGAGGCTGGCAGGCAGGAGCAGGGCACACAGACTCCTCTGCCCTGTCCCGCAGGCTCTCGGGCAGGGCGCCAGTGCTCAGGGTGGTGCTGCTGTGCAGGGCTGGGAGCCCCGGTGCTGCTGGCTGGTGTGAGCGTCGGCTCCTGGCTTCTCGGTCAGTGCTGGGACCCTTCAGCGCTCCGGGGAGGGCCTAAGAACAGGGTCTGGGGCGTCCTTGCGGGAAGAGACAAGCAGATGTAAAAGGCAGCCGGGACCTGTCTTTCTCATCTACTCTGAACTGACAGCAGGGAGAAGGGAGGGACTTAGGCTCTGCGTGCAGAATGCTTTAGTCCTACCGTGGGAAGTGGAAGGTACTTGAGTGGATGACCCAGGGAGGCCCAAGTCGAACTTTCTCTAGAAGTCTTTCCCAGTCAGAGGGAGAGAGACAGGGACAGGGAGAGAGAGTGTGTGCTGAGCCTCTCAGGCGGGTGGGGGCCCGCCTGAGGCTGGGTGGCCGAGGGGGAGTCCCCAGGCAGCTGCTTTTGTCTCCCTCTGTTGCAGGGGTCTTGTTCTGCCCCTTGGCCCTCTCATGTGGGAATCCCTCCCTTCTCCTAGCCTCTTGTCTGTGACCCTCTCCCTGTCCTTGTCCTCTGAAGTGCTGTATCTGTGGCCAGTGGCCTCTCAGCCCGCTGCCGGAACCTTGCAGAATGAGGAGATCCCTTTGAGCTGCTCCGAGGCCAGCGGTGAGGAAGCCCTACTCCCCATGCTTCCCAGAGCAGGTGGGCCACCCCCCCAAGCCTACGGACTGCCCCCCCCCCGGCCCTGAGCCCCTTCAAAGCTCTGGGACCCCCACTTCTGGCCAGGGACAAGAGGACCAGAATGAAGGGCCCTGACATCACTGCCAGCATCTGGGTCTCCTCCTCTGGCGGGAAGGGAGCGACGTGGTTCAGCCTTGAAAAGTCCATCTCAGATTTGGAGCTTTCAGCACTCCCTGGGGGACTGTCTGGATCCCTAGCTGGGGCAAGGCCAGGAGCCCAGGCTGGAGGAGGGGTGGCAACTTGCCATTTGAGGCCGAGTGAGCCAGCAGGATGGGGAAGGGGGAACTGGTGCGTGTGGGGAGCTGGAGTGGAGCCAGCAGGGGTCCCCACCCACTCCACATTGCCCACCCCCCACCCCACCCCCTTCTCATTGTCCTCTCCCTGCCAAACATGAGTCAAGGATCAGGAGATTAGGTGCCCGGGCAGGGGCTGGAATCAGTCATAGAAGTTACAGTCAACGTGGAGCCTGCTTTTGCCAGCTGTGTGACCTTGGGCAACACTGCTTCTCGGAACTTCCGTTTCCTTCTCTACAAAATGGAGATGCAACTATTTATTACATAAAGTTGTAAGAATAGTATGAGCTAATGTATAAAAGAGCCTAGCACAGAGCCTGGAGAAAGCAGATGCTCAGTGGTAACCATCACTATTATTACCACAAGATACGACACTGGGAGACCCGCACTTAAGTCCTGGATCCATCATGCGCAGACTCTGTGATAGGGGGCAGGTCGCTTAACCTCCATGCCTTAGTTTTCCCTCTGCAGCATGGGAGGATGGTCATACTCACCCCACAGGGTTGCTGTGACAATGAGTGACAGAGCACGTTTAAAAGCACTTGGTTAAACACCAAACTGGAATGCAGCACTATAAATAGGGGCTATTTTGTTCTCAGAACTGGCCTGATGCCCTGGGGGACAGGGAGCCTGACACTGTGTGACCCAGATGCTGTCTTGAGGCCTCTTCAAGTCCCTGCATGGCCAGGTCCAGCTCCCCCTGCCCAACCTGCCCCTCCACCCTACAGCAGGTAGGATGTGACTGCCATGCTGTGCCTTCAGTATCTTTCAGAATAAACACTGAGGACTTCTTGCTGGAAGTACAGGTGAGGGCACAGCCAGACTGGCTCCTGGTCTGCCACGAGGGCTGGAGCTCTGCCCTGGGGCTGCGGATCTGCCAGAGCCTTGGGCATCTCAGGTAACTGGGACCAGGCTTGGGGCCCGGGGAAGGTGGAGGGCCGGTGGTGGTGGAGAAAGGGGAGTCGGAGACCTCTATCTGCCTGTCCCCGTCAAAGTGCTCAGGAACTGGCAAGAGGTCATTTTGGCCGTGTCCTAGCCTCTGGGCATGGTGGGGCCCCAGCTCATTTCTCTCCTTTGAGCATCCCTGCTTTTTAACAAATACGAATCCCAGAAAAGGTCATTATCAAAGTCTTGCTCCATGACCGTACTGCTGGGAGGATGGTATCTCATGCACATCTTGGTCATGATTATGTACCATTTCCCGTGCTGCAGTAAACCGGTTTCCTCCTGTTCTGTTCCCCTCTTCCACCAAGACTCACTCACCACAAGAGAGTGAACCTGTCTGACATCAAGCTCAACAGCTCCCGGGGGTTTGCTCAACTCCCTCCCAGACTGGAAGGCCTCCTGGAGGAGGTGTGGCTGCCCAGGTAGGGCTTCTGAGGAGGTTGAGTGGGATCCCTTACTTCTGGTGAACAGTTTAGCAAAAATCTTCGGGTCATGGGAGCGTGGTGGTGAGGACATAGGCCATGTGAGATAGGACACAGAGGAACAGTTCCCAGTCAGAAATCACAAACTCAGTTCACGTGAGTGGGGACTGACTCTGCCAGGAGAGCCAGAGCCCTGTGGGTTTGGGGCACGAGAGGGATCAAGGCATTGGGCCGCTGGGGCCAGAGATAAGTAGGAGAGAGAAGAGGACTTTGGTCCAGCAGGAACTGAGGTTTTGCTAGGAAGGAGGAGGGGGAGAGGAGAGCAAGGAAGGGGCTGGAGAGAGAGAACGGAGTAAGCCCTGGAGGGGCATGCGGTGAAGTGTGCTATTCTTCATTCATTCCTTTATCCATCTACTGAACACAGGTTCATTCAGGGGCCCTCAGCGGGCCCAGCTGGACTTCCCATCTACAAATACTGGATTTGGGCCCTGCGCAAGACAACCCTCAAGGGCCATGACCTCCTGCTGGTGCTCTGGGGTGATGGGACAGAGTAGCATTGCTGTCCTAGAGACCTGTTAATGAGGAGGGCCCTAGGGGCTTGGATGGAGGCAGGACACAGATGGGGGGCTGCACCGGAGGCCTCTTCTCTCTCCACCTTGGGTGGGCCCCTGCCCTGCTTCTTGCTGCCACCTCTGTTTTGTAGGAACAGCTGTACTTCCGGCCAGATCGTTTCCCTCAGATGCTCTGGTGAGTCATATCCAGGCATATCCGGAAAGGTGGCAGTGGGAAGAAGGAGTCTCCCCGCTGTCCTGAGTGTGGTGAGCCCCACAGAGAGACTCAGCTTGGTCTGGGGTGGGGTTCCTTGCCCACCTGCCTCTCTGCCTGCTGGTCCCCTTCTGCCCCAACAGAGCCCTGTCCAAGCCTCTGTCCTGTCCCCTACCAGCCCCTGATCTGGGCGGGTCATCTCCGTGCTTCACTTCCTGGCACTACCTGACATGAATTCCGAAGCTCCTGCCCCCTTTCATCTAGAGAGCCCCAGAGGGATTTCTGTTCGCTGCTAACCGGTTAGCACCTTCGGGAGACTAAGGAAGGGGACAAACTGGGGGCCACATGGGAGACAATCTGTGGAAATTCTATCATCTGACCCCCCACCCCCAATCATCTATGCATCTCTTCCTCTTTCCTCTTCCATGCATCCATCCACACACCAACATTTTGATCCCTCCTGTGGGACAGGCTTTTCGTGAGGTGTTGGGGCTCCACGGACACTGTAGGTGTGGTCGCAGCTCTCAGTGAGCTTGCAGCCTGATGGGGCAGCCACACCCCGATGTGTAATTGGCACTTCGACCATCCTATCCCCCAAGCTTAAGGCCAGGAGTAATAAATGAGAGCTATCCACACTGGGCCACACTCCCCGAGGTTAGGACCATGCTGGCTCCCACCTGTCTTCTGGCTCACCATCTCCCCTGTGCTTCTCTGTTTGCAGAGTGTGGGGCCGGGCCCCTGGCCTCCCGGATAGTCGGCGGGCAGGCCGTGGCTCCTGGGCGCTGGCCCTGGCAGGCCAGTGTGGCCCTGGGCTCCCGGCACACGTGCGGGGGCTCCGTGCTAGCCCCGCGCTGGGTGGTGACGGCCGCTCACTGTGTGCACAGGCAAGTCTCAGGGGCTGCTGGCAAGGAGAGCGCCTCAGCGGCCTTTTCTGTTTGGCCCTTGGTATGTCCCATATAACATGTCCACGTCGGACTGTCTGCCTCCCCGCGTCCATTCTGAGAGGCACGGACTGTGCAGTTCTCCCCGTCCCGCACCAAGAACATCTCTGTACGAATAGCAGCAATAGCACAAAGATTGGTTCTTTGTATTTGCTCAGTTTTGAAGGTTTTCGAAGGCTTTCCCATTCACAGCACTCTGTGCTTCTTAATGTTTATCACAACTGTAATTAAATCACCTTCCGTGTAATTATTTGTTTAATGTCTTTCTTCCCCTTTAGACTGGAAGCTCCATGGGAACAGAGACTCTCAGTCTTGTTTACCACTGAGTCTCTTTGTTGATTTTCCCACTGCCATGTCCCCCTGGCCTAGAACAGTCCTGGCAGATAATAGGTGCTTCATAAATACTGCTTGGAGCAGTGTAGGAATGAATGATGAGTGAATGAGCTCTTCGGACCTCTCCTTTTGGTGGCGGGCAGGGCAGATAGCGTACTGCTCGGAGACTGAGGCTGGGAGAGGTGAGGTGACTTCCCCACGATCACAGGTAGTAGGTGGAGAGACAGGACTCATAGAAGTTTTTCTGACTTGCAGTTAGGATATCACACAAGCCCCTTTGATGTTTGTTATAAAACATGGAGGAGCATTATTCAGGACAGAGGGGAAGGGAGTTGCAGATCACCCACAGTGTCTTCCTTCTCTGGCTGGTGCAGAGCATTTATTAAGCACCTACTGCATGCCTAGTATCTTGGCAGCTGCTGCAGGGATACTAGGAGGCACGGTCCTGGGTTCTGGGAGCTCCCAGCCTGGTGATGGGGGCATCCATTAATGGCTTCTCTGGCCAGCTTCCCCCACCTGCCACCTCACTTAGGTCAGCCTCTTCTGCCCCATCCTTCCCTGGGCTCAACATGGCTCCTATGTGCAGTTTTAGGCTATCCCTCCTGTCCAGCTGGCGGGTCCATGTGGGGCTGGTCAGGCACAGTGCCGTCAGGCCCCACCAGGGGGCTGTGGTGGAGAGGATCATCCCTCACCCTCTCTACAGCACCCAGAATCACGACTATGACATCGCCCTCCTGCGGCTCCGGACGCCGCTCAACTTCTCAGGTGAGGCGCTGGCCAGGGGTGAGCAAGCTGCGCGCTGTGGTGAGCGAGGCAGGCCCTGGGGGGCGGGTGGGGGCTGAGGGGAGAGCTCATTTCTGAGGTTCCCTCCCAGGGCCGTAAACCTTAACACATTCAGTTCATTTGGTGACCACAGTGAACTTTGGCATCGCCTGGACCTAAGCTTGCACCAACTCTTGTGGAGGCTCTTTTGGGGACAAAGTTTCTGGCCCTTTGCATAGCTGGGCTGCAAGTGGGACTTGCCTCAACGTCCCCAGCAGAGCTTCCTTGTTGCTCCATCTACCAACGGGCTGCTCCGCCCCTTACCCCAGGCTGGCCCCAGGTCCCAGCCACCATGTGACATGTTACAGTTAATAAGCTTTATTTTCCCAAATGTCTTTCCTTCAGTCCTTGTAAGAGCCCTGACAGGTAGATGAGGCAGGTATAAAGAGGGAAGGACAATGACGTTTAGTGAGGAAAGTGACTCTCTGCAAGATCACACAGCAAACCATTCCAGAGCCTGGTGTCCTGACTCCGGGGTCCGGCTTCTCCACAGCAGCTGCTCTTGAAAGCAACCCCCCCGCCCCAGCATGCACGTGTGCCTGCATGCTCACCGACAAATACACACACACGCTCACACGTGCACACACTGGCTCATGCAGTCTTCACCCAAGTACGCATGCACACACGCTCACACACGCTCTGTGCTCCTCCCTCCCGTCACCTGTAGCCTTGGGTTTCCCAAATCACAGTTTTTGCTCCATGCCCTTCACAAATTTTACCACGTATGTGTACCCTCTGAACTGTGGCTCAGCAGTTAGTATTTCTAGAGTGACTTAAGTACATTTGAAAGGGGAACTTTGAGTTATGACCTAACTGGAGAACCCATATTACTGGTAGCGAATAGGTAACAACCGTAAAAATACCGAGCGAAAACAAGACAGCGGTCAAGTTCCAGCTAGCTGCCCTCTGCAGATCCGCTGCGCCCAGACCTGCTGTTTGTGTTTAGGTGGAGGTTGGCAGGCACTGGATGGAATTTTTGTCCTGGATGCACTTGGAGGGACGGAAAGAGCCCTAAGAAGGGAATTCTCTTTCCCCGTGTACATCAGTGCTTATTTAATGGCATGTCTATGTGCTACTGTAGACCAAGTTTGGGGCCCGACCCCGTAGGACTTGCCACACGCTTTTGGAAACAAGGCCCCAAGAGGGATCAAACACCCTAAGGAAAATCCAAAATGAGTCCTCATTAGGAGAAGTTGGGCACAAAGGCCCAGAAGAAATTCCCATTCTCCCTCAGTGCCCAGGCCAGGGGTGTGCAGCGTGTCCGTTGCCCAACCTAGAAGGCACCACGCACGCAGCAGTGTATACGTTGTCCTCCGTGTCAGCGGTGACCTCCCTGCCGATGTGGTTTAGTGCGCGGCCTGCACAGCCTTACGGGAGGCCAGGCTGGTGGAGGCGGGGAGCCAGGACTGCTGGAGAGGGAGTGAGGAGGACCTTCCAGTCCTGGTTCTTCCCCCAGGCTGAGGGTGAGGTGGTGGGGAAGGGAAGCTGAGCCCGAGTGGGCCCAGGACCACCCGCTTCTCCACAGATAACGTGGGTGCTGTGTGCCTGCCAGCCAAGAAGCAAGATTTTCCGAGGGGCTCGCGGTGCTGGGTGTCTGGCTGGGGCCACACCGACCCCAGACACAGTGAGTCAGCTCCCAGGGCCCTGGGGAAAAGAGGGGTGGGGGGCTGGGGGGACACTGTCCCCAAGATGAGGCCCCTCTCTCTCCCACCTCCACCTCCCCCAGCCAAATGGCGGTGCCAGCCCCCTTTTACTCTGGTATCACTGTTGGCCAGACCTAGGAGCCCTGGTCTCCCTGGCCTGGGTCTTTCTGGGAGAACGTTCCCTGAGTTTCCACTGAAGCCACTCCATCCCAGGAGTGCTGTGGCCTTGGCATTGGGGGGGCATATCGCTCTTACGTCTGACGGACCCGTGCCTCCTTCCCAGGGTCCGCAGCTCCCACCTTGGGCTCCCCTCTTTGGGTCTCATGTCTCCAGGGCCTCTAACCACCTTCCCTCTTGCTGCTGTGTCTTCCTGGCCTTGCTTTGTGCCCCGCGGCCTGGCTCTGTGTCCCTCCATCTCCACGTGTACCTCCTGTAGCCCACAAGTCAGATACGCTCCAGGACACGGTGGTGCCCCTGCTCAGCACCCAGCTCTGCAACAGCTCTTGCATGTATAGTGGGGCACTCACCCCCCGCATGCTGTGTGCTGGCTACATGGACGGGAGGGCTGATGCGTGCCAGGTACAGCATGGAGGGGGACTGTAGTGGAGGGTGGGAACGGAGGGACCTGTGGTGGCTTGGCCCCTGCTCTGAGCAGCCACTCTAGGAGGAGGGGTGCCTAGGCAAGTTGGGTAGCAGCTGCTAAGGATTTAGGGAGGAGTGAGGCAAGCGGAGATCCCATGCTGGAAGCAGCAGGGGCAGGGAACAGAGGCTCAGCTCCCTCCACCAGGAAGGGCTAACGGCCTCTTTCTCGGTGTCTCTGTGCCCTCAGGGTGATAGCGGGGGCCCCCTGGTGTGCCTGGACATGGGCACCTGGCACTTGGTGGGGGTGGTCAGCTGGGGCCGTGGCTGTGCAGAGCCCAATCACCCGGGCGTCTATGCCAAGGTTGCTGAGTTCCTGGACTGGATCCATGACACTGCAAGGGTGAGTGTGGGGGCAGGGGTGGGGCGGTCGGGTTTGTAAAGGACCCAACCCTTGGAAACTGTGACCCTCGCCTCTTAGGCCTGGGCCCTGCTTGGGGCTGGAGAATGGGGAGGAGGAAGTGATGCTTGTAACACTGAATCCATTGGATTTCTCTGGATTTAAGTGTTAACTAGGTAGGAGTAGACCTGGATGTGTAGCCCAGATCCGCCATTTACTCTGTGAGCTTTGGCAAATTCCTAACCTTGGCAAGCTTCAGTTTCCTGGTAATAGCACCACGGCTAGCTGTGGGGAGTGATCCTGTGATGAGTGAATGATGTAAGACGACGAGGAGCAGCGAGCTGCCCAGTGCTAGCTAGGCTTGCAGAGAGTGCTCCGCGTGTTATTCATATGCGTGTTTGCTCCTGGTTTCTAAGGCAGTTAAGAGTGCCTGCATTCCCTGCACTATGGAGAGAGCTTGGCATTTAGCGGTTTGCGTTAGCAAGGGATTAATTCTTGTGCGACACTGGGCAAGGCCCTCAACTTCATCCGTTCACTGGGAGGGCCGAGCAAGAGAATGTGCACGGAAACAGGTTATGTGTATAAAGAACTTTACAAATGCAGGGCGTGATGAAGAAAAGCATCTTTCTGCAGGGTTGGACACAGACACAGGTGGTAGGTAATAAATTTTAGAGTTTACAGGGGACATATGCACCCGCCTTCTCATTCAAGCCTTACAGAAAACCTCGAGAAGCAGATATTTTTAGCTGCATTTGATAGAAGTAGAAATCAAGGTTCCAAATGGTGAAGTGATTTACTAAAATGAACGTTACTGGGCTGGTAGGTGGTTGGGCCACGCTGTGGGTCTGGCTCCTTCCTCTGTCAGCCCAGGACTCCCTCCCCGGTCCTGCCTACAGCCTTGTGCTTCCTGGGTCTCTGGCAGGTCCACTAGATGGAGAAGCGGCAGCCTCAGATGCAGAAGGCATGGACCTCCTACCACACAAGATAGTCACCACCCACGGGCCAGCCTCCAGGGAGGGCCTCTCCCCTCCCAGGGCCCTGATTTTGAGCCCCTCTTTCTCACCAGAGAGCCTCAGTAACAGGAGAGTGGGTGGGGCTGGGCTGGGAAGATGGGGGAGCTGGGGGGTATGGGGAAGGAGTGAGAGAGGAAGAGGTGGCTGGCAGCAGCTCGGTGCCTGCCCTTCTGCCCTCTCCTCCCCCCGCCCAGCCCCACTATCTTTTTGTGCGCATCTTTTGGGAGGATGCTCAGGGATGCCCTGCGATCAACTCTCTCCAAGTGCTCTCAGGTAGGGCAGATGCCTCTCTAGAGGAGCCCCTGGCTCAAGGCAGGGCCAAGTCCGTGGAGTCAAGGATCCTCCTGACTCTGCAGTCATTCTCACCTACTGCCTATTCCCGCCTGGCTCTGGCTGGCCCTGCTGGGGCGGGGGGGGCCTGTAAGAAGTGCTCTGGTTGGTGCTGGGATAGGGCGTTGGTTTAAAAATGACAATCAGTGAACTGGTCCAAGGAGTGCTGTTATTTTTTTTTTTTTTTAAAGATTTTATTTATTTATTTGAGACAGAGAGAATGAGAGACAGAGAGCA